TGGCCAGGCAGGAGGAAGTATAGGCGGGACAAGGAGGAGAAGAATTCTGGGAAGTGGAAGGCTGAGTCAGAGAAACTGCCAGCTGCCACCATGACAAGCCACATGTGAAGATGCCGGTAGGCCACAAGCCACGTGGCAAGGTATAGATTTATAGAAATGGGTTAATTTAAGCTATAAGAACAGTTAGCAAGAAGCCTGCCACGGCCATACAGTTTGTAAGCAATATAAGTCTCTGTTTACTTGGTTGGGTCTGAGCGGCTGTGGGACTGGCGGGTGACAAAGATTTGTCCTGACTGTGGGCAAGGCAGGAAAACTCGAGCTACATCTGAGTGTTGTTTTTCCACCTCTGAATCTGTCTGTTAAAGTATCTTATAGCCACAGAGAGCTGGGAAAAGAGATCATAAGGAATAATGTGATGTAGAATTACCCAGAGACATGTCATTATTTCCCAGGCCATCCTGTCCACCCAGCCAGAGCCCTGAAGACATACTGATGGGAAAGGTGATCCAAAGGGAAGTTCCTATGATTCTTCCTTTTGGGAACTACTACATAACTTCAGACCTCCTTACCTTTTTCTCCTTTTCCTCCACCTTGAAGCTTCAGAGTAAACTGAGGCTGAAACTCTGACCTCAGAATAGCAAGGGCAGGGAGCTAGAGGAAGTTGATACTAGGGCAGATTTCTGGAAAATTTTCGTACATTTTCCAAATCATAAATCTAGAGTTCCAGTAAACTTAAACTTTATACACCATGGGCTCTTTGTACCTAAGGCAATCCCCTCACAGTGGACTGCCTTTCACATTTTTAATACAATCCTGCAGCGACGGGCACTTTACACAGCCCTTGCTCTTAGAGCAGTGAGGCCGCTCCGGGAAGTGCCTGGCAGGAAGACAGCACTCACTTTGCCGGAAGTTCCATCCAGTAGAGGGGACAGAGGTAGGGGCAGGGTGACTGTTCTGAGGCAGGCGAGAACAAACAGTTGCCTGTGTCTCTGTAATCATGTTTCTTCTCAGAGAACCAGAGGCTGGGCTCGGCTGAGCCGGAGAAGGCGAAGAGCATGGAAGGGTCTGTCGGGTGTGCATGGGAACAGGGATGTGTTGGACAAAGAAAAGGCTCAGCCCTCATCCAGGATGGATGGAGCCAGCTGTTAGCAGTCTGCAGGAGCTGAAGGGCTAGCCATGGGGGCTGTGGTGGATACAGACACAGAGTAGACAGGAAGGAGGGCTGGGGAGACCAACCTAGATGAAGTCCGGAAGTCCCACCCAGCGCATGTGAGTGACAGTTCTAGTGAATGGATGAATCTCCGCTTTCTATCGTGGATGAATCTCCGCTTTCTATCGTGGATGAATTGCCACACTGACCCTCCTCTCAACCCTTCTGAATTGCCAGGTCATGACTGACTGGGATGAAAAGGCAGAAAGAAACAGCCTGGTACAGACTTCTCCTGCAGCACTGGGGGTAAGGCCGCTTCCTAGGCTTGGAAGTTCAAAGCTTACCTGTGCCGCAGAGTGAGTTCAAGACAGAAATGGGCAACTTAAAGCTAAACGGGGTGGGGAGGGCAGAGGCCAGAGGTCAGTGGTGGAGCATTTGTCTAGCGCGTATGGGGCATGTGTGGAGGCCCTAGGTTCAACCTCTAGCACCGAAAAAGAAAAGAAAGAACTAAGCAAGTCTCAAACATCTGGGACTGAATGGCAAAGCAGACTTTATACAGTGATGCTTGCTTTGTACTACAAAAGCAGCATTTTCTCTTCCAAAACTTTTTGTTGCTACTGTTTGTTTTTAATTGCTAATGAACTCATTAGTTCATTGTCTGTGTTCAGGTGATTAATAAAGTTTACAATACAATTCAAAACATGGGTGAATGTGTATGAATACATCCACAAAATATTAGTTTAAAATAAATATGACCATGGTGTCTTCTATGTACATTCCCAAAATTGAAATGGGTCCACAAAGCACATGGCACCTTTTACAATTATATGACACTGTATTGTATAATGGCTATACATCAAGATTGGCTTCTCTGTCTTCTTCCCAAACATTATCAAGGGGAACAACACCCAAATCTGTCCTCCGACAGCACAGCCGGGAGTCATAGGCGCCAGGTGAGCCCACATGCAAGGCCAGGACTGTCCCTGTGGAACATCCCTTTGGTGTGTTCACTGGCAACTTCCAAGTTCCTGCTCCTGATCACCATGGCTACGGCTCCCCAAGGATGGAGAAACCTAGCAAGAACTCACACTGGGCTTCCACAAAACAAAATTGAGCAGAGAAAACATGGGTCTTGGGCAGTTTTCTTGGCCTCTCTTCAAAAGCATCACACAGTGGTGTATGCAAAACATGACAGACAGACAACACAGAGCACATACACTAGACTCAAGCAGAAGTGAGCTGGGTGTGTTGACATGTGACTGCAGTTCCAGTTATCCAGGAGGTTAGGGCAGAAGGATTACTCAAGTTCAAGAATACCATCTCAAAACCATGACTGTCATTCCCACAAATCAAGAGGGAAGCACTCTCTGAGGTCATTCTCAGAATACAGTGCATCTCAGCCTGTGTTGTTGCTAAAGACTTCATTCCAATTAATCGAGCCTTTTGGGATGGATGGTGCCTCTTAGTTTTCTGTTATTACTTTTATTTCCAAATTAACTTTCCATTCACATGAAATCATATCACTTGCCCATGATATTACCACAATAATATTCTTCACTTTTTCAGTACTGGGCATCAAAACCAGGGCCTCACATTGCCGCTGAATGACATTGTCTCTCCTCCATTAAAGAGTCAGAAACCAACATCAGGCTCCATGAAACAGCTCCTGTAGGTCCAAGTTAAGACCCACGGTGGCCTTTTATGAGCGCCTGCCCCAGCATGGTGGTTACGGGCACAGATGCTCTACCCGGTCTCAGCCCACTACTTTGCAGCAAGGTGACACTGGACGTGGTATTTACGTGACAGCTGGGGGAGCTGTCACATAAAAGGCGCATTGAGGGTTAACTGAATTAATATTCAGGAAGAATTTGGAGGAATCAGCTTAACACACACAACACACAGGCCACAAGCACCTCCATTCCCAGCAACTTCTTTTACTCACAAATGCCTTCTCTCCACCCACCGCAGCCACCTGCCACTGCTGATGCCAGATGCTACTTAACTTTGACAGCCTGCAGGACAGGCCACTTGAGGGCTCCACACCAGGAGGCCCCTGACTCAGCAGCACACTTACTCTCCACACAGCATCTGTGCAGAACCATCTACTTTCAAGGTCACACTGAGTTGAATCACCGTGGCCGGAAATTATGTCCATTACAAAAATGAGATCTTAGGAGGCATGCTGACCGGGCAGGATGTCATTTTTCATCCCATTTCCAATACAGACCTGGGAGCTGCAAATGAAGGTGCCAGTGATATGCCTGTGACAAAAGTCACACTGGCAGTTAGCATTTACAGCAACGTCATCCTCTAGGTTAAAATGTACATGATTAAAAAAAAAATCAAGACAACACACAGGGAGAGAACTCTTGATTTTTAAACCTAAATATGTTGAAAGACAGTAAAGGAGAGACCCACAGATCTATTTTAAATTCCATCCACAGGAGAAAAAAAAATGAATGGGGGAGTAACACAAGGCTCAGAAGTCACAGGCAGGAAAGTCTGAGGCCAATTTGCAAAGGGTTAGGATACTAAAAGGCAGCTGCAGATTTCTCCTCCCGCTATGCCACGCACCCTGGCACACCAGCTGTGACACCCACATTATTTTTATTACTTCCAATGAATTACAAACATCTCATTTGCACATGCGGGTTATGTGGTCAAACACAAACAACCAAATCATCTGCCTGTTAGGCAAACCACCAACATGAACCCAAAGAAAGCCTTCATGGTGGAATTCTTCAGTATTACAGGCCCCTGAAAGTCCTGCCAGAATTCCATGATTTGTGCAATGTGGTGATATATTGCACACTCCAATAAACTTGCCTGGGGATCAGAGGACAGAGCCAGCCACTAAATTAGACATAAAGGTCAGGCCGTGGTGGCACACACCTTTAATCCTAGCATTCAGGAGGCAGAGATCTGTCTGGATTTCTGAGTTCAAGGCCTCACTGGGCTAAATGAGAGAAATAGTCAGGCAGTGGTGACACACGCCTTTAATCCCAGGAAGTAAAATGGCAGGACACAGAAAGGTATACAAGGCGTGAGGAAACAGGAACTCGGTCTCTTTAAGACTGAGGGTTTCGTAGAGGTAAGAACCAGTGGCTGGTGGCTCTGCTTCTCTGATCTTTCAGATTTCACACTGATATCTGGCTCTGGGTTTTTTTTTTTTTTATTAAAAGATCATCTAAGATTGGAACAACAGTATAAGGTTTTTGTTTGTTTGTTTTGCTTTGTTTTTTTAGGGGGGGATTCAGAACAGAAAAATTCGTGTAAACTCCCAGCTGAGGAAAATTCTGTCATCTAACTGAGCCTGAGTAGGAACAAGAGGCCCAAAGCTCAGCAGCTTCTCCTCTGCTGTGACCTGAGTTATCTGCAAACAGGCAACAAACAGCAATTTCCATCCCACCTTAAAAAGCATCAAGAGAAAGGGAAGACTGGTAAATGCTCTGAATTAAAGGGAGAAAAAAGGTTGTTTGTTTTCTTAAGTTCTCTAGCTGGACATTGCACCTATAACTTCACAGAGCTGTCAGGGGGGCCTGTGAGGCCACCAGAGACTCTGCTGTGTATCTGTGACAAGAGAAAAATTTCCCCATCTACCTCACCATCTCTGAGAGCCTGACGCTGACATTATGGAGCACATTCTGTATGCTGCAGATGGGTCTCGACACCTTATCTATGAGTCCTCACTTGAGCAGGAGGCAGAAATGACCGCCTCATTTCTCAGATGAGTGAACTGCCCATAAGAGTAAGCACACGGGTGCCAGCAGGGTGACTCAGCATGGAAAAGCACTGGCTGCCAAGCCCAAAGATCTGAGTTCAAAGCCCCAGGACACACTTGGGGGAAGTAGAAAGCCAACTCCCACAAATGATGGCATGTATACACACACACACACACTCACACTCTCTCAATGAATGAATGAATGAGTGAGTGAATGAATGAATGTTAAAAAAGAACCTCTTTTAAAAATAAGAGTAATCATATGGCAAAGTTGGATTTAAAGCCTAGTTCAGATCTTTTTGGGTTACTCTTCCACTTGGAATGTCCTTCTACCATTCCCCTGGCTTAAAAACCTGCAACAACTTCTTGTTCTTATAGGGGACTGGACAGCCACATTCCTGACTGTGTCCACAGAGTATGGTCCTCAAGTCCGACTTACCAAGTGAGAACTCATTAGGCCCTGCTACCACTCAGTTCTCAAACCTCTGCTCTCTCTGCCAGCAACCCCCCCACACCCCCTACCCCACACTACCTTTCTCTGCCTCGGCACAAGGAACCTTCCCCCTTGAGACCTTCCCCAAGCTCCTCATCCTGGGCTCTGACATGAGTATTGTCCCTGCAATGCCCCCCAACCCACTTTATAGCTAGCTGCTCCAGGGTGACGATCAGGCCTGCTTGGCCCACTGTCATCTATCTCCAGCTTCTGGAATTGTGGGTCACAATCCTGTGTGCAGTTACATACATTATGGGGGGGGGGCACAAAAAGCTGGACAAGGCAGAAGGTTTCTGAACATGCAACTACTAAATATCAACTCAAAATCAAGTGTGCAACCAATCTGAGTTTTCCTGGAGCTTGCTCAGGTGGCATCCCGTGACTTTACCACAGCCTCCGTTCTGAACACACAACATAAAACTCTGCATGGAGCACACCAGCACATGCCAACGGACTCTGCCTGAAACACTGTGGCCCGGATTTGAAAATACTATGTGTCAGGCATTGAAGTGTCTTTTTTGCACACATAATGTTTCCTGTTCTGATAGAAACAAAAGGGGGGTAATTTTCCAAAACAAAGATTTGTGTTATGTTCTTTTTATTTTTTTTAATTTTATTTATTTATTTATTTATTTATTTATTTATTTATTTATTTATTTATTTATTTATTTATTTATTTTTTTTTTTTTTTTGAGGCAAAGTTTCTCAGTGTTGCCCTGGCTGTCCTGGAACTTGCTCTGTAGACCAGGTTAGCCTTGAACTCGGAGATCCGACTGCCTCTGTCTCCTGAGTGCTGGCATTAAAGTGTGCTATGTTCCTGCTCTCATTCCTCAGCATGTAAGCATCATATGAGTGTATCTCTGAGTTGTTCCAGGTTAGAATGCTTGGTTTAAAAATTGCTGTTTGAGCTGCTGGCATGAATTTCAGTTTTTCTTTCTTTTTTTAAAATCATTAAATAAATTTTGGCATGGGGTTATAAGAGAATTTCCAATAGTTTCTGAAATGCCTCCAAACATCCATCTGCTATTCTGTATTGTGTGTTTATATGAAGCAGTGTTCCCATTCGTGACAATTATAAAATCAAAATATTGATCAACTTTGAAAATCAATGAAGATGCTTGGCTCCCTGAGTCAAATATTCAGGAAGGTTTAATCCTTTATGAAAAAAAACCAGACAAGTGCATCAGTCTCATTAGAGCACAAATTTGCTTTCAGCTTCAATATGTGGAAAAATATATGTATAACCCAAACTTGTTATTCACTCAGTGCCTGACTTACATAGCTGTGGTACATACCTACATACCCCAGGTCACACAAGCATTTCTTACATAAAGTGTAAGAAGCCCTAGCCTGTCCCACACCAGGCACGTGGTAGGCACAGCCTCTTCTTTGCCTAGACAAGGCTGGCTGACACTCGCTTGTTGGGTCTGGCTCAGTGCCTGGGTATAGGAGAGAATGTTTACAGAAAATAAACGCACAGGTAAAAGGAATCTCAAAACTGTGTATCAGAAGGATGCCACCACCCAGCTCGGAGCAGCCCATGTTGATATAAAATAGGAGTGTGTCTTTTACCAATGCAGAAAAAAAAATGTTCTATTTTAGTTAACCACCAAGTTCACAGTCTTTTAAATTTTTAAAGAATTGTTCTTTCACAGTCTCTCTCTCTCTCTCTCTCTCTCTCTCTCTCTCTCTCTCTCTCTCTCTCTCTCTCACACACACACACACACACACACACTCACACACACATACACACAGCACTTTAATCATATACACACGTACCCATTACCATCTCTTATTCCCCCCATTTCTTCCCTACAAGTTCCCATTTTAGTAAAAGTCTTTTCCAAAAGTACCCTCTTGTTGGCTTATCCTAGATTTCCCACTGTCATTAGGGCAGCACGTGGCAGATGATGACCAGTCCTTGCCCTCAGTGGGCTTGTGTGTGCCATAGACTAAATGTTCTTGTCCTCTGGAGCTGACTTGCTACCTCCAATGCCTTCTTCCCCAAGCCTTACCTCCAGGGGGGCCTTCCTCCATGTCCACCTCTACCCCGCCAGTCCTGCCCCTCATTCGCATGCTACTGTTCTTAGTTTCCTTTACATCACCTGAAACCGCTTCATGCATTCTTTGCTTACCCGACCACAGAGCTCTCCAACCACACCCAATAGCTGTGAGAGGCATGGAAGCAGGAGCTTCATCTGTCATGTTCCCTGCGGCCAGGAATAGTGGCTGGTGTCGGTCACCCAAGCTGAAACAGAGAGTGTGTGTGTGTGTGTGTGTGTGTGTGTGTGTGTGTGTGTGTGTGTGATTCTTTTGCATTTGTGGAATAGCAGTCCAAAGAAAATGAATATTCTTTAAAGACTTATTTGATGTGCATGGATGTTTTGCTTATGTGCATGTACGTGCGTACCATACGTGTTCCTGGTGCCCAGAGGGGCCAGAAGAGGGTGTCCAATTCCCTAGAAATAGAGTTCCAGGTGTTTGTCGTGTGGGTGCTGGTAACAAAATCTGGGTCCTACAGAACAGCAGTCAGCATTCTTAGCCCTAGCGCCATCTCTCGAGCCCCTGAATCTTCTTTAAAAGCTGAAACTTCATTCTTTTCCTCAATATGCAAAACTGTCTTCACTCTACTCTCGTTTAAAGGTAAAAGACTCTCTGGAATAAACGGTCTGAATCAAAAGTGAACTGAAATGGGTCTGCTCCAAGGGTCACATTTTCCTTAGAAAACATTGCAGGCAATCCCAAAGCCTGGCCAGGGGAAACCAGTGTGAATAAGAGAAGACATACAAACACCGTCTGCCTCAGGGCACCTTGAGAAGAGGCCAGCAGAGGATGCCCGATGGAGGAAGGCTGCGGGTGGGTGTGGGGCGCCTCAGCACACAGACAGGTTTTTACGTCCCTCCTCTAGCTGTCCCCCACAGAAGCACACACAAATGGATGGCATACCAAAGGCTCCAGAAGGCTCTGCAGTAAATAAACTGACTTAATTTTATTTTACTTAAAGCCATTTTTGCCTCTAAAGTAAGGAGTCGTCACACCCAGCACAAGGAAAGCTGAACAAATCCCAGGTAAGACCAGCCAGATAATATGGGAAAATAGATTCCCTGTCTTTGCTTTATAAAGAAAAAACTTTATGCACAGAACTACATTTTAACAGTGACCCAAGTAACCCCTTCATGTAATCGTTCTGGAATTTTCTGAATTTGAAGAGAAACGCAAACAGCTGAATGTTTTATTCGAGCTGTGGTCCCTTCCACAGGGCTGTTTCAGAAGGCAACAATGGGTGTGCCCCTGCTGGCTCCCTCTGAGAGGACACAATGGAAGGGAGCATCTGCCAAAAGCCAGGAGAAACAAGGTGGAGAGAGGAAGGGAGGAGAGGCCAGCGAGGCCAAGAACAGGAAGAAAAAATCTCGCTGTCTTCCTGTGCACCCGGCCTGCACCTCTGGGGTGCCTAGCGGGCCCCTGCCTACCTTAAACCTATAACTAAGTAATAACCCTAGAGGGACAATGCAAAAAAGAAGGGCTTGGGCTGGGGAGATGATGCACTCACTGAAGGGCCTCCCAAGCCGGTGTGAGGACCTGAGTTCCACCCCCAGAACCCCATTTAAAAACGGCTGAGCAGATAAAGGCACTTGCCACGGAGCCTGGTGATCCAGGCTTGATTCCCAGATCCCATGAGGGAGAGAACTGACTCCCACAACTTGCTCTCTGACCTCCACATATGCTCTGTGTCATGCATACCCACACACATGCACTAAATAAATATTTTTTATCTGGGTGTCGCAGCACCCAGTAGTAATTCTCATGCTAGGGAGGCGGAAGAGACAGGCAGCTCCCTGGGGCTCACTAGCCATCCTGCCAAGCCTATTTGGTAAGCTGCAGGCCAGTGAGAGGACCTGTCTCAAAGTACAAAGAATATGGTAAAGCTAACCTCTGGCTTTGACACGCATACACATCTGTACACATGCACCTGTACACACACATCTGTCACACATGTGCACATACATCTGTACATACACATGTGCACATGCACCTGTACACACACATGTGCAGACACACCTGTACATATGCACCTGTACATACACATGTATACATACATCTGTACACATACCTGTACACATGCACCTGTACACACACATGTGCACATACATCTGTACACATAC